CAATTTTGGTGAAGATTCATCCACACCTCGCGAAGTAGTTACATGGACATAAACCAGCAACATACAGCACTATCATATTTATGTAGATATAATAACTACAATAATAATTCTCTTTGAACACTGCGAATCCTTGAATCCTTTGAACACTTTGATCCTTGACAATGACACGGATGTGTCATTGTCAAGGATCCACGCTGCCAGTACTCTTAAATTTAGCTAGTACCTTCCCAACAGCACTGTGAGTGACGTTTTTTCTCTCTTTCTGTATGGCGAGCAGCAATCTTCCGCTGTGACCACCTTTCTCTACCAGACAACAGAATTCACTCGATCTACTCATGCTTTAATCGCGTCATAATCAATCATGTATCCGAAAATTAAGAAAAGCTGCAAATCACCTATGATTCCAGACTTTTCAGGCACCTTGTATAACTATGAACGCTATTCTAGGCATGCTGTTCTAGACACGTTTGGTATTGTTTCTTAGTGAGTTTTCAATCATTGTGCACTATGCTTTGTGGCACCTCCTAATGACAGTCAAAAGTTAGCTTCAATAAATATAAATAAAACTAGATACAAGATATCAACAATATGTAACCTCTTTTTTAATAAAATATATTTTTGTTTATTTGTCATTCATGTTAAATACTGGCTTTTCAAGACGAACCTCAGACATTATTTTTTACTTGCTAAGCTAAGCTAAACTGATATGATTTATATTCTATCATAATCCTTAAATCTAATGCTACGCTCATATTTAGTACTATATACTTTTAAGTCTAACTTTTTTAAATTCACGTTATTTTACAAAAATGCTTCAACGAATGGTTTTGTAGGTGAAGATATGAATGGACCTCAAAATATCGTGGAAAAATCAAGAGGTAGAAAAATAACCTTAGCCTGTAAAGGTCATACTTGCAAAATGCGAGTCCTAAATAGAGCATATTTCACCCACTTCTGAAAATTTCACAAAACTATGAGTCCTAAATAAAGTATATCTCATCCACTCCGTACAATTGCGTAAATAGATTAGCAGGATGTTTGGAAGGCAAGAAACACAGTTGATGATTTGGTTGTTTTAGAACAAAGTCACATTTGGCTATCT